TTTCTGATACATTGATTTTTTTATGGATATATAAAAAGTAAAATCTAAGAATATTTTTACTAGTAAACACAGAACCAGCTATTGTCTTACTATTGCTTGATAAGTGATGTTAATGTTGGAAATATTATAGAGAAATGTTTTCCTCTTTAACTAAATGGCTGCAGATGGTGTGATATACGTGCAGTGTACAGCGTAATTTTAATTTGTTTACACAATTGGCTCCACAAGTGCTTAGTCACAAAGGAGTCCACTATTTGTCATCTGTTTACCATTTCCTTGATTATCAGAAAGAATCTTTTATGGGTTAATAATGAAAGCAGATACTAATGCTAAATGTACTTTAAAAATGGCAGGATAAGCTTTTTAAAGTTCAACACTGTTAACACATTCTGCCCGGGTTTATGTTCTGTCCCCTGTAGTTTTTGGTTAATTTTGTTACATACAGATGACTCCACATGTACTCAGACAGCAAGGAGTCTATCAGTAGGCCCTAGGTATTGATCCTGATTTTCCCATTCATTGAATTGGCGGGAAAATTAATACCATTGCTATTGATACTGTTATTGTTATTCATGTTATGATTATTAAATTGTCATTAAAATATTTTAGACAATGAAATAATACAAAAAACCCTTTCCTAAAGTGAAGGAAAAGGGTAAACAGGTGAGATAGGTAGTTCCGATAAACTGGCTATTTGGTGATTAAGAACTTGTAGAGCCATCTATGTGTAAATACAATAAATAAAGATGTATCACAGTGGGCATGGCATCTATTCTTGCCACATAGGGCGAATGGGTGAATAAGAAGTTAGTTATTTGCTGAATAATTTTCTTATTTGTGTCCCTTGTTTTACAGAACTACATCTTCTCATTGCTGACTGGCTACTGTGATCCTCCTGCTGGTGTGTCAGTCAGGGAGGGTCTCTACTACAACCCATATTTCACTGGTGGTGCTATTGGCATGGCTCAAGCCCTCTACAATGAGGTGAATTTTGTTGTTGTTTATATGAATAAATTAGGTTTTGCTTTTAACCCCTTGGTGCTGGGTGATGCCGATCGGCGTGAAAACAAACCGCTCGCGTGCGGCTGTATGCCGTGGCGGCGCGCCAAAGCGTGGCGAGCCAGTGATTCGGGCTGACGTCCCCTACTCATGCGCTCAAAGTCTGCGCGTGTTTGCTAGAGCGTAGTAGTTTTTTTTTTTTTTTTTTTTGTACACCCGGCGTCATTGGGTTAAAGTACTCTTCAAGTTAAAAGTTAAATTCAGCTGTTTTAAATGTCATGTGAATAGTACTAGGTAATGTACCCAATATAGAGAATACTATAGTCTGTTGCAGTTTTATATTTAATGTATTTTATACAAAATACATGGTAAAATATCTTTGAAATACCTATTGTTTATATTGCTTTTTTAATTTCAAGGTCATGGAGTACAGTGATGGCACTCCAGCCACTGCATCGCAGATGGCCAAAGACGTGGCTGTTTTCCTGAAGTGGGCTGCAGAACCAGAACATGACCAGCGAAAGAAAATGGCTCTCAAAGCAATCATGATGTTCTCCCTTCTTTTCGGCCTGTCCTATTACGTGAAGAGACACAAGTGGTCTGTCTTGAAGAGCAGGAAGATTGCATACAAGCCTTCGCAGTAAAGAGAATCCCAACAAGTAAAATCGACAGCGATCCCAGAGTAGTACCTCAGTATGCTGCATTTCATTTTGTCAGTCTGTAAATGTCTGTGGTAGAAAAGTTAAACATTTTTCATGCATAACTATGTATAGGGAAGTACAGTGGAACAGTGCATCAACTTTAATTCCCCTATATAAGTCATTCAGCAGCAATAGATACTCTTATCGCCTAGCCATTCAAAATGTACCCCAGTTCAGTGTCTAGTATTCCTATTCATTATATATTTTATTTTTTTCTAGAAAATAGGAAAATGGTTTTAACATACGAGAAAAGGTATATTGGATGGGGTGACCATTGTACATATGTTATATTTATTTGGCATCACAGCTTGGGATTGCCAAAATTTTGTGTACATTACCAGGATATATTAAGAATAACAATATTGAAAAACTATTTTGGTTAATTATCCTTTACGAGTATAAGGTAACCTTTTTGTTTGAGTAAGTTTGTTGAAAATCAAATGAAATGTGCTTTTAATAAATAAGATAAATAAATAAAATGACGTATACAGAAAATGCAGTATATACATTATGCAACACTAAAAAGACAGCTCAACATATTCCCTAATGCATTGAATATCAAACATACTTTTATAATACCCAAATACTAAGGTTGCATCTAAATTGTTTGATATTATGATTACTGCTCCAAATATGAATGAAGCTTTTAACCCCTTGGTGCCGGGTATGACGTGTACGTACGTGCTATGCCCACAGTGAGTACTTGTTTGATTGTTTTTATGCATAGATGGCAACACTTGTACTAACTCCCCAATGAGCCAGTTCCGAGCACCGCCCGTCTTGCCTGTTTACCCGTTTCTTTGATTTACAAAATATTTTACGTAATCTTATTTTGCTGTTACTAATGCTAAAAAAAATGATAAAAATTATAATGTTTATGATAAAAATAACACCATTGATTTTCATAGCATTAGTGAAAAATACATTTTTCCCGCCATTTAAATCAGGCGCTTGCAGAGGCATCTATCGGCAGACATTTCACGAAAAACACAAAGTGGGAACAATATTTTCCCCATTTTTTGTTCATTTTCCCCGGCACCATTGGGTTAAACTGTTCCCTTACACATTGTGAAAATACAAGAGAAGGAATGTTTAATTTCAGTTTGGCAGCACCCAATATAGACCTAACAGCTATGTCTACATGATGGGTAGTACCTGAGCAGGCAAACCTTTTTTTCCCAAATAGTGTTCCAGTCTACACAATTAGGTGGGTGGTGGGCACATGCAGAGAATACGTGTCAATATGAGAGAGCGATCCCCCCCTAATCTCTTGTTTGTGTGTGTGTGTGTGGGCGTGGGGTGGGGGTAGCTTTAGGTAGGCCCAATGTAGGGATCATCCCTGCCATGGACGTGGCAGAAAAATTACAATAAATAAATGCAAGTGTGATAGAGGCTTCACATGATAAGGAAAGAGGATATCACGTGAAGCCAAATATAATTACAAAACCCAGAAAAGAAAATTAACATGGATGTATAGTTAATAATTTGAATTTTTTTAGTAAAGAGAATGGGAGGCAAAAGACCTAGAGCAAAGGAAACAGGAGCTAACTGTAAGATGGAAGAAAAAAAACCTTAGCGTTTGAGATACCATGGTATGATTTTAGTGTCTATTGCTTCATTTTTGTGTTCCTCTTGTTTGTTTCTGTGCCTGTCTGTCTGTGCTATATTAGGTCACATAAATGAACACGACAAATTGCCACTTCTGTATCATGAAGTGGATTTTATGCTAAATATATTCAGTAAATGGTATTCCTCAGTCGGTTCACATCATTCTTGAGAAAAAAATCTTCCTTTCGATATAAAGCTGTCGCTGCTCTTTTGCTGGAGCACCGAGGGATTGGATATCTTGGTGTTTGTTTTGATCATTCTGGAAAACCACAAATATCGTCTCATGAACTAAGAAACTGGGAGTATCGCCCCAAAGCCCCACCGTATTGCTATATTTTATATATGCCGCTAATTACCTTAGATATTGACACGGCAGAAAAAAAATGATAAGTAATAATATCTTGGTGTAAAAATGGTGTCTTTTTATGGATGATCAGGAGATAATTCTGAAGATCCCCTCCTTTCCAGCTACTGAACATTCGAAACTGACTGGGTATCAACGACTAAGCAAGCTACCAAAAGTCACACTTGTACGGTACAATCTGCTAATATCAGTGTCAGAAAATCACAGACATGGCATGTGTTATCATTCTTCTAAAGGAAATAAAGATGACTGATAAATATGCTGATAGAGTAATATTTCTATCAAGTTTATCATACGTTAGCTCAAATATCGTTACAATGGTGAAATCTCTGAATAACAATCTTTTTATGAAGTATTAAGTATTAAGGGAGTATTAAGCCAAATTACTCCTATAGACTAATGACCTTTTTTTAAAACAAATTCTGAATGACAAATATACTGTAAACACCGTAATGATTATCACGTTGATTTACCCTTCCACTTTGTTGACACAGTTAAAACTTCTGAATAAATTGGTTTACTAAAATAGGTTTTATTTGTGGGATCTCCATTTTTGTGTTTAATCTTGTTCTAAATTTTAAGTATACCAAAATAAGAGTGTGTTCGTATGTGTGTATGATAGGGATGTGGGGGGCACTAGTCTGGAAAAGTTGGGGAACCATCGCTATACAGCCTCTAACTAAACTATCTTTTCGTATATGCTACAAGCTGTAAGATATGTTAACTTTAAAATGAAATTTAAAAAAATGTGCAGGGTAATATCATATGTAACGATGATACTGTGGCATACTCGGTGAACTCTCGGTCTCTCCTTTTTTCCCTTAGATTACGAGCACCGTAATAAAAAGCCAAGTGATAAGATATTTGTGTCACTGTAAGCGGCAAAGCACGCCGGTCTTAAAGTTCAGTGGTAACAGAGTGGGATTTTTTTTTTTACTATGAAGAGGACATTATCTATATATATATATATAAAAAAAAAAAAGAAACACCTCCAGACCCTGGTTGTAACTATGCTTTTAATCCTTATATTACTACCTCTATATAATTTAGGGGTGATCTGAGTAAATGTTACTGTCGTTTTTAGTTTTTGGTTATTTATTGCATAGTATACACCTGATTTACTCTACAATAGACGTCTGATGGTACAAGTCTTTCAATCTGGCCGAAGTACAACGAACGATTCTCGGCTTTTACCTCAAGAACGCCTATCTCAAGGTAAACGTGGGATCAAGGAAGATTTGCTCCGGGTATGGTATTTTTGTGCTGCTGATTACGTTTTCAATATCTGGATTAATCTCCTTGGTCAAGGCAACTCTCTGTTTTTTTTT